TCGAAGAAATGAGCATACACACGCAGTGAGCATTAAACTGTCATGTGAAACGTTCGGTAATGATCAGTAATGAGAATTTATACTATTTTTTGTTAAGATAATTTGACAAAATCACTGATATAATGATTTATTACAGCCGCATGTTTTTTTCTCTCGCTAGAAGTCATTTGAAGTTGTTGTAGAAGTCCTCTGTTGCCAAGTGAAAATAATGGGAATCTTTCGAAAACCGTGATGCGAGTTCAACTGTTTTTCTCTTGGCGTGACTCATTATACACCGACTCTATATAAAACTAACTCTAAATACAAAACACGTTGTTCTTTTGCTCTCTTTAAATAATTATTGTTTCGTGAGTTTCTTGTGTCCATCCGAAAACCATTTCAGGTTTTGGACCCAGAACGTTTTCAGCATCATCGGAAAATATCGGTCGAAGTGGTTTGCGCGATGGAAGAAGAGAAATCGGAACGGCTCTTTCTGCCTCTATTTGACGGCACTAACTATTCCGCGTGGAAGTTCTGGATGGAAATCCTTTTGGAAGAACACGAGCTCGTGGAGTGTGTTCGCACTCTCGCTAGTGAAGTGCAGGAACTGAAGGATGCGGAAGGTGACAGTGCCGAAGTGAAGAGAGGAAAAGCTGCTGAACGGGAAAAGCGAGCGAAACGTGACCGGCTTCTGGTATCTCGGATCCATGACTCGCAGCTCGAGTACATCCGAGATAAACAATATTACGGCGAGTGTTCGAGCGGCGGAGCATCGCGAGTCGGATGCATCTTAAGCCTAGTATACAGATCGAAGCGAAACGAAAATTGAAGCACGCGAAAAATCATGAAATTTCGCTAGCGAAAAAGGTTGCGAAAAAATGTTTGTGGAACATTTTCCAGTTTCCTTTTTTCGCAGTTTACAGTTCATGTGAAACGAAATCGGTCAGTTTACACCTCCGGTGAAGTGAAAATCTGACAGATACGCTCTTTCTCGAAACGTCAACTTTTCGCTTACCTGCTGCTCTGAGTGGTGCGAAGTGAAATTTTCTTCATGTTGGTAGTGTTGAAATAAACGTTTCATCACCGTCGGTTGGTAGAGAGAAGTGTCAAACGGCTTTTTGTGCAGAGCCGATTCGTGACTTTGTGATTGTTTGTTGACATTGTTCATAGCTGGAGTTTTTACGGAGTGGAATAAAATTCAGAATGAAGTGTTTTGCTCACTTATTTGTATAAATTGTTGCAAATCAGATGCAAATTTAATGTGGCCGACGATATCTATGGAAGTGCTGTTGAAAGTCCCTGGGAACTCCAATGGCACAATTTGACTTCCCTCCAAATCGTGTGAAACTCGAACATGAAAACTCTATAGAACCCCCGTAGAACCTCGCTGGCAGCAACTAAAATATCCACTGAAACCTCTTCTGTCGCGGGAAAAATCTGTTGAAATTTCCTGGAACTTTTGTACTATCATCACAAATCTCCTTAGAACGTTCTCCGAAGTCACAGTCGTTCCTGAGCGAAAAAAATCGGAGGGGTTTTTTTCAGTGCAGGAGTCTACTTTGGTCCAAAATACGCAATAATACTGTTATTTTTAATTGTTTGAGTCGTTTCGAATCACGTTTTTAAAAAGATCAAAAACATTACTGAAAAATATTTATTTTTTATTTTGGACGATAACAATACTTCTATCTATTTCAACGAACCACAATGATAAAAAAGTGGTTCGATTTGACAGCTCGAAAGTGGTTCAATTTTGAGGTCCGTCTTCGCACCACTCAGCTGCTGCTCTTTTCGCTAGCGCTGCATGCGCGAAAAAAAATGAACGTAAGCGAAAAAGATACGATCCACAAAATAAGATTTCGCTGGATCGTATCTGTTTACAGTTCAAAGCGAAGCGAAATATTTGCCAATTGCGTTTTTCGCGCAGGTGAAAAATGTAGTATTTTGTATAAGATTTTCGCTTCGCTTGGATCTCTATACAGGCCTTTAAGCGAAAGATGTTGACCATGCATTTCGACGGAGGAAATTTGCAGCAGCACTTTCTTCAGTTTGACAAACTCGTCCGGAAATACCGTGCGACAGGTGCCGAGCTGGAAGAGGTCGATGTCATCTGCCACCTTTTGCTGACTATCGGGTCATCGTACTCGACTGTGGTGACAGCGCTTGAGACGATGCCTGAGGAAAATCTGTCGCTGGAATTCGTGAAGTGCCGGTTGCTGGATGAGGAGACGAAGCGAAAAGGTGTGGAATCGTGCACCCCATTCAGCGAGCAAACTGCTTTCGCTGGCTCACAATGGCAGCCAAAGAAGCCGATCAAATGTTTTGGCTGTAAGAAAGACGGGCACAAGATGTCGGAGTGTCCGGTGAAGAAGGAGAAGAAGAAATCAGGTGATCGTAAGTCAAAAGCGCATTTAACTGATGGTCGTCGGTGTGAGCAGAGGAAACAAAGGTCCGGACCGTTCCGGTCGTATACGGTGGTATATCGATTCCGGCTGCTCAGATCACCTTGTGAACGACAAGGCACTCTTCGATGAACTCAAACCGTTGCGCAATCCGGTTGATATAGTAATTGCAAAGGACGGCGAATCGATCGTGGCCAGGTATTCCGGCACGGTGAAGGTAATTTCCAGCGTTAACGGTAAGCACATTGAGTGTACAATAAAAAACGTTTTATTTGTACCTGAGCTTCGTTGCAACTTGTTCTCAGTTATGAGAATTGACGAAGCAGGTATGCGTGTGGTGTACGTAGGAGGAAACGTGAAAATTTACCGTGGCTCAGAAATCGACAGTTGGTTGTGACGCGAGTGAATCGTTGCTAACGTGCGGTCGTATTTCAAAGGACATGGAGCTGTGGCACCGGCGTTACGGACATCTGAATGCTAAAAGCCTTGATCAACTGTTTCGTGGTGAGATGGTTACTGGAGTGAAACTCCCGGGTGGTTCTGGAGACAATAAACGTGTTATTGTGTGTGAGCCGTGCGTCTTGGGGAAACAGACTCGGAAGCCGTTCATGGTACGCGAAACGAAACGGTCGTCGCGAGTTCTCGAAATAATACATTCGGACGTGTGCGGGCCGGTGACGCCAATTGGGCTGGACGATGTGAAGTATTTTGTAACTTTCATCGATGACTGGTCACATTTTGCGATGGTATTTTTGATTGAATCGAAGGACGAAGTGTTTGAACAGTTTCGGAATTTCGAGGCTCTAGTGACGGCTAAATTCGGGACAAAGATTAGTCGCCTACGTTGCGATAACGGTGGGGAATACCGCTGCAAGCAACTTGAGCGCTATTGTAAGCAGAGAGGTATCCAGGTGCTCTAAATACAAAACACGTTGTTCTTTTGCTCTCTTTAAATAATTATTGTTTCGTGAGTTTCTTGTGTCTATCCGAAAACCATTTCACAGCTGACCACGGACTGGTGTACGACCGGTCGACCGGTCCCATCCGGCAAGTGACTGGCTATGCGGACGCGAACTGGGCTACGGATATCAACGACAGGCGTTCGGTTTCGGGAATCCTGTTCAAGCTGTACGGAGTCACAGTCTGTTGGAGTACCAGGAAGCAGAGCACCGTATCCTTGTCGTCGACCAAAGCGGAATGTTCCGCTCTAGCAGACGCAGCGTGCGAGGCCATTTGGATCGGCAAGGTCTTGAAGGATTTGGGGGTGCTCGAACCGCAGCCGCCACTTTTATATGAAGATAATCAATCAACCATTGCTATCATGGAATCAGCCGGACTTTCCAAACACTTGTCAAGATGGTGGAGTTTCGTAGCATCAGATTCCTCCGGGTACTTGTTCATGACAGCGGTGAATATGGCCTTGAACTTGAACCAATTCTCAGCCTTGCCATCGAACGTTGGCAGCGGGGTGTGAAGCAGCGGCGATGATTGAACTCGTACTGCCTGTTGCTGCACAGGTAATGGTACAGGAACGATGTTGGCTTCACGTTTGACCGCTTCTAACAATCTGCATAAAGTTGCTCTTACCTCGTTATGCAGATCCTCGAACTCGACGTACTTTGCCTCCTGTTCTTCAGCATTTCCTGGTGCTAGAGCGTAAATCCTATTCTGGAAGGTATTAAACTCTTCGTAAGCAGCGTCAACCGCTTTGAGATGCGTTTGTAGTAGAAATTCATCTGGAACAGTATGTTTCTGTTCAGCCCGTTGTAGCACATTCTTGATTCGTGTAACCTTGCCTTTTACGGCTCTGCTGCTGAACGAGAGCTTGAAATTCTTCCGCCATTTTCTTTTTCCGCTAGTTTTTTGCCTGTACCCGCTTCTGCTCTCCGACTGGTGTGCTGAACACCTCTCAATCCGGATCCTTTACAGGAGTAAGTATTCACTTCCGACCATGTACCATGTACCGCGAAAATACTTCGAAAATCCGGCAACGTAGGACCAAAGTGTCGTAGACGTAGTAGTAGAAACGCGTGGACTGTACTTGTACGTTTTGTTTATTCTGGTTGATTTTAGAAAGGTACAAAAAGATGTGTACGAAGGATTTTTGATTTCCTGTAGATTGAGAAGTAGAAAAAAAGAGCAAAAGAAAAATTCTATAAATTTAGTTCAGTGTTATACATTTCTTCACTGCATCTGTCGTCATCTGTGACGGAACAAGTCACGTGATTTTTGCCAAATGTTGACAAATTCGTAAAAAAAAGTAACTGTTTTCGTTGTCCATAAAATCTAAATCCTGGATAATTTTAGTAATGTCCTACACATTTAATTTTGTTTGAAAATTGCCAGCCCGAAAGATTTCCTCCTGGTTGGCAATACTGTGCATTTTTTACTGACTAGACTATCTGATGGTCCAGTCTTTTGTCAAACTTCGTGAATGAAAAATTTGCCCATTTTCAGTGTTTGCCAGAATTGGATTTACTGATTTTAAGGAGATAGATACGCATGATATTGGATAGAATTCCATTTCTAACCTGTCTTTCCAATGGCAAATTATCAATCTGGTCAATTGTTTTAAAAAATCGATACACATTCAAATAACCTCAATATCCATCCTTCCAGTACAACGACATGGGAAACCACACGCTAGCCCTGGCCACGTGGAACGAAACCGTTCGCCAGGACCCGAGGCACGTCAAGGCGTGGAACAACATGATCAACGTGTACGACAATGGCAACCTGCACGATCAGGTGCTCGTTATAACTGCCCGGGCCTTAGCCCATCTACCGGACCACCCGAACCTGCTGGCAGCCCGCGCAATCGCCCTCGCTAAAATGGGAAACTTTGCGGAAGCGGAGAAAATCTACAGCGATCTCATTGTCAAACATCCGGGCGAGGAGAAGTACCTGCAGAACATGGGTGTCCTCTATCATCGCTGGCGAAAGTTGGATCAAGCCGAACGGATGTACCGGGAAGCGTTGAAGATCAACCCCCGCTCGGAGATGGCAAGGAATAATCTCTCAAAGCTGCTGTCTTCCCGGCAGAAGCGAAGCAATTGAATTTGAACGTGTACGTATGTTTTAACCTCGAACAATTATACTCGAAAAGTCGTTTTTAAACCAAATCAACCCAAAAAAAAAAGGCTTTCTTTTCATCCGTTCTACCATGGATCGACATTGGTTGTGTTGTTAAATAAAATCTCTTTTTGTAAACTCACCCGTTGATGATCCGAATGTTGGTGTAATCCCCTTCGATCATTCCCGGCATCTGGTTGGCCGTCAGAACCGTGACCACTTTCAGCAGCGGATCGTCATCGTCGGTGATGACGCCTCCGCCACCCGGTCCGCCTCCCATGCCGTGGTGAATCACACCGCAATCGTCGTCGTCGTCATCATTGTCCATGATGGCCCCAATGGAGGACGCCGACGTCGGAGGTGATGGATCGTTCTTCGACGAGATTATGTAATCGCCTATATTTACAAGCTGTCCGAACGGGTTAGAACCTCCCACTGGATCCTCCAGCTGGAAGTCATTGCTCCGGGTGTCATCGACTATGCTGTCCGCCATGAGCTGATCTACATGACTTGAGACCTCCGATTGTTCCAGCTTCAAGTCGTGATCGTTTGTGATGGGATTGTCCAAAGTGTTGCTGTCTACACTGGGAAGAATTTTGTTGAGGTTGCTGTTGGTGGCGGAGTTCGACCGCACGTGGATGTTCAGATGGGCTTTCAAGTGGTGAGACTTGGCGAAGCGTTTGTCACAGTCTGGACAGCTGGAAAGATGGCCATTGTGATTGGATTAGACTCATGTGCAATTCGTGGGATCTATTCTCAATCTAGTGGCTCAGAGACTCAAGTCACTTGAGTGAACATAGACCTCCATGTCGACCGTTGTCTTGTCGTTTATACTTACGAATACTTTTTGACTCCTGTGTGAATCAACATGTGACTGTTTAGCACGTGTGAATAGGTGAAGCTCTTGTCGCAAACTTCACAAACATAGGGTCTAAAATGCAAGCTATCATTAGAAATACATGTCCAGCACCTTCCCTCACACCCACCCACCTCTCTCCCGTGTGCGTCCGCTCGTGTTTGATCTTACTGCCAAAGTCGGAAAACTTCCTCTCACAATATTTACATTTGTACGGTTTCGCACCTAGAAAACGAAAGGAAATGATCAATTTCCGATTTTCTCATCACCCGCTCGCAGAGCAACACGCCCACCCGTATGTATCCGCATGTGCCGCCTCAACTCGAACGGCACCACAAACGCCTTCTCGCACTCGGTGCACTTGTACGGCTTGTCGCCCCGATGCCGCCGCATATGCGTCTCCAGGGCGTGCTTGTACTTGTACGAACTATTGCACAGCTTGCAAACGTGCTGCTGTTTGATTTGCTTGAGGTTCCTCTTGACTCGGATAACCGTTTCCATCGACCCATCCGGACCGGGCTTGGTTACCACATTTTCGATCGTTGGCTTCTCCTCATTGGGAATGTTTGCCTTTCGAATGGTTTGGATCGTTTTGATCGGGTTCATCGTCGGTTGATTTGTATTGGTGGCGGTTTCATTCGATGATGCTTTGGATTGGGGAAGCTTCTGAAAATATTGATCGCTATCTCCGACGTCATCGTCATACTGAAAGATGGAAATCATCCGTTTTCTAAATAGGCCTTAATCCAAAATAGAAGCAAAAAAAAAATACCTACAATAATTTCCCATGCCTCGGCATCATTTTCGCGCTTGATGTTGGCCAGCTGGTTCAGAATATCGTCCTCCTTGTCCACGTATACTAGTTCCGCATTGAAGAAGATATCAGCACTGCTATCGTCCTGCGGCTTCTTGCTCTCATTATCGACAGTGTGACTATCTTCCCCTTCAACCAATCCATACATTAGCTTCGATCGCTCTTCCTCTCCCTCGTCCATATCAGCCTCCTCTACATCTCCAGCTTGGGAAGCCTGGGAAGGCGGCAAAACATCGTCATACGTTATCAACGAATCATTATCATCGTCGTCGTCAAACAGCGGTTCCGGTGATACTTCCCGTGGACCCACACTACCAGACATCTCATCGTCCTGTACTTCGTCTTTAATCGTCGGCTCCTCCGGAGGAGCACAAATTAAAATCTCTCCATTATTCTCCAGCAACACTGCCTTCTCCTTCGACACCAACTTCACATTCAACCCCGATGGCGGCTTGTAACTGTACAGAACATCCGAACTGATCGGAATCTGAATCTCCGATGAAAACGAATAGGAATCTTCCTCAACCTCCTCACCATCTCTTCCGTTCGTCGCCACCTCCCGGTACGATTGTAGGATCGCATCGGAGCTCTCGCAATTCACCCGGAACCGGTACGCCACATCCAAATCTCGGATACACTGCGAGCAGATCTGATCCGGCAGGGAATCGTCCTTCCGGATCTCCACACTGGTGCATTGCATCACTTTGTCACAGTAGCTCAGATTCGATTCCGGACAGATATCGAACAGGGACCGGATTTGGCCCTCCTGTAGGCAGATTCGACAGGTGATGTTCCATTCCGGGTTCAGCGACATGCTGTATGGCTTTTGCACACAATCTTTTCACTCAAGCCACTCTACTCTCTACGCTTAGCAATATTCGCCATGAAAATAATAATCCTTACTAGGACTTTATCCTAAAGTGGATTAATAAATTATTAACAACTACTTTTCCAAACAATCGAAAGCGATCTGTTTGTTTTTATTTTTTCTTTACTCGAAATCGTTGTTTGCGTTAAATGACATTTTCAAACTGTGTGCTGGTGTGCGAGAGAGGGCGCGAAAGCGCGGAAGTCATCACGCAAGCGTCACGAAAGGGTTGCGTCACGAATCTTTTCCCGGGAATTTTGATTTTCCAACACGGTTACCGCTTAACGCAAAATACTCAACGACTATTGAGAAATGGCCGTAAAAGCTGTACGCAGATAATCACCACTGCATGATGATGATAAGGTTGACAGACTGCATAGGAAATTCATGGAAATTAGCTGTTACCGCGAGGCAATTAATTTATGGATCAAGTCTATAATCCAACCCGCATAGTTGCATAAGCCTTTAGCTGATGTCGATTCAAAAGGCCAAGGAAAAGAAATGAAAAGTAGGCCAACGACAACTCGATTACATAATCTGACTGCACTATTTACTAAGGATGCATATGCACTTGAGTAAGATAAACACGCCCACACGCGACATATCTGCGCATGTAGATTAAGATAGTTTCCCTATATGTTCATCCTCCACGAAGGATAATAACATAGAGGTAACTCTAAGACTAGAAGGTCCCGAAATAACGTGCTCAACTTTTTGGCTCAGCTCTGGTACTCTCTTCGGTCCCAAGCTAATCGATTCACTCCTCGAAACATAGGAAAAACCAATAACCCCTCATTTTAGCTGTCAAACTTTCATAGCGAATCAAAACAAACATTGCGTAGTACTAGAATTTCGACTAGAATGGGGAACGTTAATCGTTTGCTTGGGACCAATAGGCTAGTCAAGTAGTAATCCAATTTAAAATCGTTAGTTTCGAATTGATTGTTGATAATAATCTAATGTTTAAACGTTACAAATGTTCGAATGCTTATTTGCAGAGCCATATCAACAATCAATACGAAACTAACGATTTTAAATTGGCTCACCACATTAGTAGCCTATTGGTCCCAAGCAAACGATTAACGTACCCTATTCTAGTTGAAATTCTATTACTACACTATGTTTGTTTTGATTCGCTATGAAAGTTTGACAGATAACATCAGGGGTGTGTGGATTCATGCAGAACATGCAGGGGTGAGTGAAATAGCTTGGGACTGCTTGGGACCGTTGTTCTGGTACTGAGTGAGCCAAAAATAATAATGATTTTCTTCGGGACCCAGTGGTCTTAGAGTTACCTCTATGGCCATATCGGATCTGAGTTACAAAAAGCAATAAATTCATGAGCATATTGAGAAATCCCGGTTCTAAAAGGACATAGTATATACACACAAAAAATAAAAATAATTTTAGTAAAAATATCACATTTTTAAATTAAAAGTTTCCCGAATTTCGTGTTATGCGACGTGACGATGCGAAGATGAGAAACCCAAAGGATGAGCTCAGCTTTCACATCACCCGGGAATGCTAATGAACATACCGTTTCCATAGTTTATTCCTAGTTGATATCAAGGTAGGTTTCTGAACATTTTGATAGTACTACAATACTAAATTCACTATAATTATTCACTTCCAGGTAAGACAAATATCAGCATATTTAAAAAATAATATCATAGCACTGGCACTACGTATACACTTGGAATATTCTATTTTGAAGCCGCAGATTGCTCCCCTTTATACAACGTTGCACCCGGGCATCGTCATGTCGACCACCTGCTAGGATTTCCATAATGCACAGGTTCTCTCTGCCGGAGTACTTTCTTGCTGTTCTGTTCCGACCAAAAAGGGTTTTTCGGAATGACGATCGTCTTCGGTGCCTTCTCGTTCGTTTTTTTTGCTAACTAACCATGTAAAGAAAGTCAACCGTGCCGCTGCCGAGAACGACAGAAACTGCTCAACTCAAATGCCGTGTGTGAAGGATGTTAATTGGCCCGAAGCGGAAACCCATTCCAGTTCCAGATATAATCCGCCGACGTTGACTCTCTGACTCTTCCTGGCAGACAACTCTGGAGTACACAGCAAAAAAATTTAATATCGATCAATGTAATTCAAGCTCAAGCTGATGTATGAAATAATGATGTAATAGCAAAAAGCAGATACAATATTACATCAATGGATGTAATTTTGTTCGCAAAATCGATGTACATCGTACAACGTTATATTACACAACCGATGGATTGACATGGTTGCAGCAGTTTGGATGTAATATTCAACAACTTTTTTTTCTGTGTAGCATGATAGCATAGCTACGATATAAACTGTAAAATAACAACTATTGATGTTAATAAACATGTTTATGGACCTTCAATCTGTTGTCAAAAGCTTTCAAGCAATATTTATATGCATATAAAAGTGAGTATAAAATGAAAACGAATGTTTTAATATTAAACATACTTGTTTTTAAATTAAAATCGTTCAAGCACAGACAAACAGACATAACACTTGCAAGTTGTTCATCGAACAAGCATTTAACAGACAATTTAAAAGTATCGTAGTTGGTAGTACCGCCACCTGTAGAGCGCAAAGTCAATTCCCTTGTGTTTGACGTTTACACACTACCGCCACCTGTTCAGTGTAGTGCCCACCACAGTGTACTCAACAGATGGCGGTAATGTTTTAGCGACGATGTTTTACAGTGAGAAATATTCAATGAGTTATGTCTGTTTGTCTGTGGTTCAAGTATTACCTCGACAGTCCTACATTTTTAGTTTGACAGTTAAACAACTCGGTTCAAAAGTTCATACTTTTAAAAATATGAATAAGTAACGTTTTTGATTTAAGAACGTGGAAGCTTGAACTTTGAAATGTTTCCGCTTTCTACAAAAAAGAACCAATGCCAACTTTTAATTTCGCTAACGACTTTTTTTAATTTAGTTAATGAATTCTCTTTGTGTATAAGGACTCGAAAACATAGATTAGCCCTTTTTAAGCCCGCGTAGAAATTCGATTATAACTAGCAGAAATTAGCTTAATGTTCGGTATTGAGAGAGACATGGGAAATTCCATAGTGACAGAAAATCATTTTACATAATTATAGATCGCTAATGTAACACATAGATTTAAGATCACCTTGCACAGAATGGAAAATAAAATTAAGTTCGTAGGTTACTCCAAATTCTTCCGAAAGAATTTTCGGCCTAGAAGCGAAAACTTCTCTCCTTAACCGGACAAAAAAAGTAGCTGCTAGAATCAAAAAACTGTGTCTGAACCAGAAAGTGAAAAACTCTCTCTAACGGGAGAAGAAAGTAGCTTTTGGCCGTGACATTAGCATTACAACACAATTTTCATCAAACCTGCAAAACACCCTTCCAATAGAGATTGCTAAAGTGTGATTGTGTCAGTGATTTGTTTTCAGATTAGTTGAAAATAAACCATCCACTCATCTCTGTGTGCTAGATAGAGAAAGACGATTAAACGTCAAAAAGGTCTATGAGGTTTTTGTTTTTTTCTGATGAAAACATTTTGCGTATACGTTAAAGAGACTGTGCAAAACTTCGAATTGTGTGGTCCTCCTCACTGTTCTTCATCAGTAGTTCTTTCGTGATTAGTGTGTGAGTGATGACCACGTTTTGCGTTCATTGCTGCAATCGATGCCGATACTGCCATTCAATGAAATCACTGGAAGTGGATCCCGTTCTGGACTGATGGAGGAGGCTTATTAGATAGTGGAAGATAAAGTGTTTATTGTGTTGTACCTTTTGACTATAGTTTTACGATGTTTTGCATGGTGAACAAGAATCCTCGGCTCTGTAAAGGTAACTCGATTGAGCCTTATCAAATAAATCAAAAAGCAAAACAATACAATTTTTGGAAACCGTAACAACCATGAATTTCCACCCAGTCTCACCCGAGGTCCCACCATGTTTTCTTCAAAAGACAGTCAGCTCAGAGCACATCCTAAAGCCTGTCTGAAGCAGCTCATTATTCCGCGTAGCTGCGTATACCAAAATTAGGGTACACACTACTGTGCTGAGAATGGTCAACATTGCATGCATAACAACAACCCACTCAATCAATTCCACATTGCCCAAGCTAAAGCATTTTAGCATCCAGAAATACTCGGAAATACCATCCGGCTGGAGCTGCTCGTTTTGATACTGTACTGTTATTTTTCACCTGATTGCTTTCACGATGGCCATTCCATCATCCAGCATAGAAAGTTGCAACAACGTTGTTGCCAGATGCAACAGCTCGACCGCACGAAGGTAATAAATGGTAATAAGGTCCGCTACGAGAGCTGATGATGAAGTGAACTTTAGCCAAGACCTTTAAGTGGACGTGTCCCTTCAATTTTCAAGCTTCCGATCCTACAAGAACCCTTAAACCAGATGCTTCAACCAGTTGGGAGCGCTAGTTTAAATGTATTCTTACGAGCTCTTTACTTGCAATTTGTTAAGTATTGGTTCGATTTCCTCCAGAAGGAGTGTTCAAGACCTAGTACCCGCGCAGTAGGGGCCTTAAATCATTGAATTCAGTCCTTCTTTGGAAACTGAACTAATACTTGTTGGAAAGGATTTGGGGTTTTGGGAAAATGATAGCCTGGCTGTGGTTACTTCAAGACTATGTTTATTGAATCCAAATGTTTTCTTATATACTAGATTTGGGCCCTAAAACTCGCATCACGTGGTCCTGATTGTTTCCTATCATTTTGTTCCTAATTGGATCGTTCTGGCAATAAAGATATGTTGAGGTCAGGGTTGAGGTTTTATTACCTCAGAACAAATGTAATTATTGCCGTTCAATCTCAACTCGTACGGCTCACATACGCGCCAGCTACCAGGGATCTTAATTACTCGATCCCTTCCAACCGACTCCTTATCTCGGGACTATAAAATTGTCTTGCTTTGAGAGTATAGTCCATTGGGATTTCAAACGCACGGCCCTACCCGTGAACCCAAGTGAAGCGCGGTATTCGATCGTTATTTTCCTATTAGCTACCTCGGTTCCAGTAGTTCTTCCCTATGCGTGTCTTATCAATGCACCTCTTTTAGTAGCACCCGTTCAGTAAGTCGGCAGGGAACATGATCCTCGTGCGCAGCTAGGTGCGTTATCTGAGCTAGGTCCGAGCCGGCTTTAACGATGCAAGCTAGGAACGTTCGAAAATGTTCTAATCTTCTAGGCAAGTGCGCGCTCCATAAGCGGCTTTTGGTTCGGTTGTCTGTTGACACTGAATTGTTTTATTTTATTTATTGCTCTTGGCGCAAGCCCTACTCCGGCTGCTACTGTGCAGCTTTGGCTAAGGTTTTATTACTTTCTCTCTTATTTCTTTGCGCTTCCTTCGAAGTGAATAATCTGTACTTGCCCGGATATTTTACTTTCTTCCTACTCATTCTCTCAAGATCAATGACCGACCGTGGAAACTTCTAACTGATTATCGATTTTCAAATAATTGCAATGTTGCGTTCGTAACAAACGTTTCGCAAATCTTGACAAATTCCGAGGAAAAGTAATTGCGCAGCCTTGTACAGCAGCCAAGGGGTTGGTCACTCCGCACAGTGTGCCAAGATCATATTTGGGCACACATGGGCACGCTAATTGACACAGTTTGGCACCCATGGTAGGAAACATTCATGATCTTTGAAGTTACTGGCATCACTGTACTTTCTCTGCGCCTGCTCAGCACATGTGTCAAATCATCTCTTAGTTCCCCAAAACCGAGCTGGATTCCCCACTAGAATCGCCAACAGTGCATAGGCACAGGCATTATCCTGTCCGAACAGTTATTTATTCCACGCAATACATACCAAAATCAGGGTAATCGCTAATGATTAAAATCGCATGTATAATTACACTCCACTCAATCAATCCCACATTCCACACGAAACGAAAATCAATTATTTAATTCATGTGTTTCACTTATACATTTTTGCCAAAGCATCAGCCTTATACATTCCATAAGACTAACCGCATAGGTCCTATTAGAATGCATAAAAGGTATGTGTGACCGCATATACATTTCATTTGACACATTATCTCTATTAACTTTTTGCAAGGCGTCTGCTTATTAGTTGACTTATACATTTTATGAATAATCAGCAATGGAAATTTGCCAAAAGGTATAAGGAGATTTCTATCCGTGCACAAAGCACCGGATATGATATGAAAAAATATCAAAATTGTGTTCGTTTCACTGTAGCTTTGTGTGGCAGATGAGAAATGGCCAAGGATGGATTAAGGAAGATAAACGGCTCGCCACAACTAGCTGCTCTGTCTTGTATCGGATATTATGCTAGTTTTAGTTTAGTTTCGCCGACTGTCGCTCCACGAGCTCATGCAACCACTGACGAAGTCAGTCTTTAGCAGAGGAACACTTCGTCTCATTCTTGGCCTCCTCAAATCTTGTATCCACGTTGTACCAGTTCGATGTCAGTTAGCCTTCTGATCTCCGCAGCTGATTTCGATCCCCGAAAGAGTTCCAGCGATTTCAACATTCACAGCCGCTTTCCCCGGCGGCTGTTAATTCCCAATGCCATCAGATGCGTTTTGATGCTGTCTTTGCTTTGGAACTCCATCACCTTTTCGAGGGGATCCTCTAATCGGGTCAATTTTTTCAGCCTCTGGATCATCGGCTTGGTTTGTATTCCACTGCTTATTGTATTCTTCCTTCAAAACAATATATTCGAACTGTCAAATGAAACGGATTGCCAAGCATGCCATTATTCACAAGCAAACAAAAGTCAGTACGATGACTGGCACTCTCTTTACCGCTGGCACTGCTGCGGCATACGTGAGACACACTGAGAAAAATTTGGTACAAAATAAATGTGTAGAGTGACCACCCCTTGACAGCAGCTTAAGTTCCGTTCCTCGGATCGCATTCTTCTGGTCGAGCTCCTGGTATTATTTTCTCGGCAAGAAAAACAAAGCTGCAAGCTGTCGGAATACCAAACATGTAGTTATTCACAGTTTTGGGCGTGACAAGATGACAAATTAACAACATCGACTTGAATCCGATCGATGATGTTAATTTTGTCGACTTGTCACTGCCAACTTTGTTTCCCAGTTTTTGGGTGGGTTCAGTTTTGACTAATCTGGGTTTTACCTAAATTTGGGTATTTTTTTTAAATAGCGTGTGCCTATTAAAATTAATAATTGACCACTCTGTCAAGCAGTTTTGGGGTGACTTTCTACCAGCGATTTAAAAAAACTGGACAAACTAATTTCTATTGTTTTATGAAACGTACAAATCTTTGCTACTTTTCTCGTGGTTCTAAAAGAAAAAATCTCAAAATAATGTTTTATTTCAAAGTTCGAGTGTAAACGTCATTTTAACTGCTCGAATGAAGTGGTTAATAATTAACCACTTTATTCGAGCTTTTAAAATGACGTTTACTACCACTCAAACTTTGAAATAAAACATTATTTTAAGATTTTTTCTTCTAGAACCTCGAGAAAAGTAGTCAACATTTGTGCGTTTCATAAAAAATAGAAATTATTTGGTCCAATTTTGTGAAATCGCTGGTAGAAAGTCATGCCAAAACTGCTTGGCAAAGTGGTCCATTAATCATTATTAATAATTTATTATCCGGGAACTATGACGAAGTGAATAATAATTCCCGGAACCTAATCCTTCTGCAAACTGCAATTTGCGTAACTGTCAATTGACGTACCGTCATTTTTCTTCTTCACGCAACGTTTTAATTTTGTTCGTTTGTGTGTGTGAAATCAATTGTCAAACATTTTCGAACGACAGTCGCCGAGAAGTAGTAGCAGCAGCAGTAAACGGAGCCAGGCCAGGTCAGTCAGAAAGGAAAGAAGTTCGGTCGAAGTGTGATGGTAGTGCAGTGACTAGGCACGTCCACCGTCGTTGTCGTTGTCGTTGTCCCGTCGAGTTTGAGGAAGCAAAGACAAGAGGAAAAAAAATCGGAGTGCTAAAGTGCGTTTTTCATGTTTTTTTCGGAATTGGATTCGATCAGTTTGGTGGATTTTGCGCTCAGTACTAGTCGTCGGATCGGATCCGTCCGAAATTCCGGGTGTGGAAACGGGAAAAGCGTAATCGCCAATACTAGCTGGTAATCACAAGAAAGGAAAAACGGGTGAAAAAAGAAAGGCGATTGCTCGCTCTCTCCCCTGAAAAAAAAGTAGAAGAAGAAAACAACTAGCTGTGGTTCTTGTGTTGTTGGCTTGGAGCAGACAGGGAGCTCCTCCGCCCGCGCCGTCGTTTCGTTCCATAGTCGCGGGTGGTGGTGGTGGTGGCGGAGTGTTAATATTTAGATTTTTTTCGGTGTTCATTTCTGGGGTGCGGTTCCAAAAATAAGATCACTTCCCGTTTTCCCGTTTCGTTGATCCCGTGCGGCGAACAGCGGATTGTGGTTCTTTGCTGGAGGAAGTTTGAGATTTTTTTTTCTGGTGGTGTGAAATCTGAGCAAGAATTCGAGTGTTATCAGCACACACGAATAATAATGGCCTCTGACAGTGTATTCGGGTGCTTGTCTATCTAGTGTCCAGTTGTCGGGAAAGATTGCAGGGAATATAATGGAGTGAGCAACGGGAGGAACGCGCTATTAGTAAGCAAGTGACAGGGAAAAAACCCGAGCAAGTCAATTCATAAAAATGGTGGACAGTGGTTGACATTCTTCGGTTGAATGTTGTCTTCATCGCTGTTGGTTGCTTTTTGTTGTTGTTGTTATTCGTCGACATCATCATCGTCATCATCGCTTGTGTGCCGTATGTGCGCGAAGGGATGACAGCATAATCGTCTCACAGCAGGAAGAAGAAGAATAAGTAGAACGAATCCATAGAGTGTAACAATTCTGGGTTTGATAGTCTGAAGAAGATCGACCAAAAGGATAGCCGAAAGAAGAGGCATACATTATTAATTGGAGCTGTGCTGTGGAGGAACCCAGAAGCAGCAGTAGTTCGAGACGCAGACGGCAGCGCGTGGCGGCAGGTGGAGAGACGTAGCGTAAATTGGTAGCAGGAATCATCCACCGAAATGTCACGGCTAGCCGATTATTTTGTGATTGTCGGATACGATCATGAGAAAGAACGTAAGTTGAACGGTTATTGCTACTCTTTACTTGCTGTAGCTATAGATATATGCGTACGTACGTGCCAGTTTCGAAATTAGATCTACAAAACACTGTGCATTCATATTCATAGGCATCAATTATTATATCGTAGTTGTGCGATCATTCTACGTCTCTGAGAGCAGCGCTGATAGTTAGTCCGGTCAGAGCAATTGGTATTATTAATTTATGAGGAATGTACTCCACAGTGCACGGAGCAATCTTTGGATGCAATTCTTCTAGTTTCTATACGGAAATATAATAGGTTCAATGCATTGGAACTTGAGGGCAGCCAATTTAGAAGTGTGGCAGCTCCTATGTCCGTCGTTTCTTTGACATTGGCTTTGGCTGCGGAGTTGGAAATGCCTCCAACTCCGACCCGACTCCATAGCCCTGGGGCCTCAGTGCGCAAATCAAAACGAAGCATTTTTTGTATAAAACGACTTGCGTTTCGAAATGAGGCTCCTGGTTTTTTCATCTTCTCTATGAAGTCACAAATTTAACTAATCCCGAGATAACGTTTCGATAAGAGGTTTGAAATTTGCTCAAATAGGAGAAATTACGACTTCGACACTTCTTCTTCTTATTCGTATTTCAAGCTTATTTTACTTATCGCATATTAGCTTATTGCGTGCTCTCAACTTAGTGTTCTAGATGCACTTCCACAGTTGTTAATTGAGAGCTTTCGATCAGTCCGCATTGTGCTATCTTGCCGAGCGAATCCATTTGCTTTTTGCTGAATGAAGTGTTACTTCTACCTAAAGCTGCAACAAACTTAAACAGCACCTTTAAGTGCTCAATATGACCTGCAAATGTTCTACCTTGTTCGACTCTTATTCCTCTTCGATCCTTGTTTGGACTTTACCCGAGGAAATCCGGCTTGGACATCGACTTGGAAAATTCTTCTTCGATCCTTCGGATTCTTTTTAAGGCCGCCGTGGCGCCTAAACGCAAAAGAAAATGCCAATCTCTTGATCCTCCTTCTGATGAAATTTATTTGAGCAATGATCATTTATCCAGGCAAAATTCCATTAAACATTCCCGGCTTAATGTCAAGAAGCAAAAGGTCCCACCTATTGCGATAACCACTTCCAATTTCCATGCTCTTCGCACGGAACTTTCGAACTTCGTTAAACTCAAGTTTTCACTTCAAATTGACCGTCGGGGTGTATTGGCTGAAACTGGGAAACAACACACATTTACCACTTACGACACCAAAACTGAACGTCTCTTCAAGGTGGTCTTGAAAGGTATGTCCAGTGGTGAATCCCTGGATCAGATCAAACATGAATTGAGAAAATTACTTGAAGTTGAGCCTGTCCAAGTAATCAAAATAAAATCCCGTCCCGGCGATTAGCGCAACGGCATTTCTAATGATTTTTATGTAGTTCACTTCATGTCCAGTGAACTAAACAACCTTAAGGCCTTAGAAAAAGCTAGCCTTATGCTCCATGTCCGAGTGAAGTGGGAACACTTCAGGAAGACTGGAGGAAATTTCGAACACCTCATCCAGTGCCATAGATGGGGTTACGGAACAAAAAAAATGCTACATGCCAGCTAAATGCATGAATTGTGGAGATTCCTCTTATCATCGAGTTGCTGTTATAACCATGTAGTCATAGTAACAAATAAAGTGATTGACGAATCTTGAATGTGGGTGGGCTTGAGATTAGACTCATAATGTTCTGATCAGCAAGCAAAAACGGTTGCTCTAAGGCCACCGAGCATATCATATCACATTATACCGTTACTCAAGTTGTTATAACTATTCAAACCCGGCACTGACGACAACGAAAAGTTAAACAAGCGATCTTACCATATATTTTTAATGTGAATGGACCTGGGACCGCGTTTTTCTGATCAGTATGCAAGCCACTGCAACCGGTGATCTTTCAAATCCTAAAACTAAAAGCTACGAAAGAGTACTTAGGCCTTCATTAAGTTCCACTTTCACGCGACATTCAATGTTTCGATTTGCTCTTTACGCATGGTTCAGGCAATCATAACAAGCAATGACTTACATGGCGATTGTTTAAACCTTGGTTAAACAAGCTATTCATATGAAATTACGTTCTCGAATTTCACTTGGTATGTAATGAACAACAGAAATACGAGATAATTCATATAGTTTCAGCGGTTGATAGTTAATTTTAAATATACTAAAGGTACTGCCTACGGCGATTTTTACCATTTATCTAGGATATAATACCTTTGCCCGGCACGTCCACTTGAAATTCATGTCTGCTATCTGTCTCTGTTTGCAAAAATATCTAATAGCAATTACCTTTCTTGTAATACTTCCTACATTGCCATGGTCATCTGGTAGGAGGTTCGCGTCTAGTGCTTTCCCCAGGAACCGTTCACGGCCACCAGCTACCGCCCGTCCAGTCTTGGACGTATCCAGCGATCCTTCAGCTTACTCACAATCTACGACACTGGCGAGAGACCAGCAGACGAGCACTTTTGCAAGCAGTAAACTCGCTGATTCACGGCAACGTCAGCCACCGAATCGCCACCAAAACGCGACTGACACATTATCAGCACTTTCCCCGGCTAATTTTCCAACCGGACCGTGTTCAAACTCACACACGGTGACGAGACTCTCGATAGAACTACACGCCGAAAGCGTAACATCCGAACACGGCGAATCGGCCTCGTGGGAGGCAATGAAAATTACAAGCACACATACACACCGCTGGTTACAAAAAAAAAACACACCCGTGCAAAGAAACGGATCCAATAAACGTCACTCTCACGAAAGTAAACCCGTCGTCTTCGAACGGCAAAAAAAGGAACTCGGTGAGCAATTTTGCGATACGGAATTTCCACTGAAATTCAACCGACTGCGAAACACGTTCATAAACACTTTTAATACACTTTCGATCGAAAAGACTTAATTTTTAATAGGACAATTAAGTGAATAGGTCTGCTTGGTGTGATTTATTAATTTAAACTAAATTCATTCGTTACTACATATTATCATGGCATACTACAGCTTGTAGCTAATTCGACAGTGAGCATGCATAAGGGCGAATACGCGATGATCGATTCTCTTCATCGATTTTCTCTTTGCATTGCTACAGCTAAGTGAAACAGTTTTCTAGAATTTGTTCAATGCAGAGTTCAGAGTTCTTGACAAAATGAACAGGTTGTATTGGTTATCAAAAGCAACAGCTAACGCACCGAGAATCGTTAAATCTAGCGAGTTATTAACAAAAGAGAATATCGATGAAGAGAATCGATCATCGCGTATAGGCCCTTATGCATGCTCAATGTCGAATTCATCGGTTACTTCTCCATCATCCCCCCTTAACCGAGAATTCTATCAATCCCTATTGTTCGTCGTCCAACTTCAAGTTAAGGGACCGGCACCGCCTTTGTTAGAAGATCTGCTGTTTGAAGATGACTGCCAACGTGGTCCAACTTGATAATCTTCTCTTCCAGTTTCTCACGAACAAAGTGATGTCGGATATCGATATGCTTACTGCGTGGTGAATATCCGACTTCTCTTTCAGCAAGGTGAATCGCACTTCGGTTGTCGCAAAAGATGGTTATCTTGTTCCTGCCGTAGTCCTCTCCCCCAGATGGCTTCTTGTGCTGCCGCTGATACCACCATGTATTCAGCATCCGTCGTTGATAAGGCCACGGTTGATGGCTTACGACAGTTCCACGAAATCGGTCCACCTGACTGCATGAAGACGTACCCGGTGATAGAGCGTCGCGTCTCGATGTCGTTTCCCCAATCTGCGTCGCTGAATCCAACGAAACCGTTATCTGCTTGCTTGCGGTAGGTAAGCTTCATATCCTTCGTCCCTTTCAGATACCGCAAAATACGTTTTGTTGCTATCCAGTGTGGCTTACCGTGGTCGCTGCAGAAATGACTGACTGCGTTAACGGCGAAGCTGATGTCCGATCCGGTACATTGCGCTAGGAGCTGGAGACCTCCTAGCAGCTCCCGCAATGGAACTTTCTGCATCTGCTTCGATAGTTTTTGATTGTGATCTGCCGGGGTTGCTACTGTATTACAGTCACTCATGCCGAATCGTTCCAGCAGCTGTTGAATGTGCTGCTCCTGGTCCAAACACACAGTTCCGTCTCCTCGCCCGACTCGGATTCCAAGGACTGACTTTGTTGGCCAATCCGAGATCCTTCATCAAAAACTTCGTTGTGAGCTGCTTCTTCAAAGCATTCACCCACCGCTGGTTGTTGGAAAACATCAGTAGGTCGTCGACGTATACCGCCACAATGAGAATCTTCTCGTTTTCGATTTTTAAAATAGACACACGTGTCAAACTTCGACCGCGTGAGTTCAAAGCGCTTGAGTTCACCATCCAGCTTCTGGTTCCATACTCTACTGGCTTGTTTCAGTCCGTACAGCGCTTTCTTCAGCTTGCAAACCTTCTTCGGACTTCCGTTGGTGATAAATCCTTCCGGCTGCTCCATATATATGTCTTCGTCTTTCAGCTCATCTTGCAGAAATGCTGTGACTGCATCCATCTGATGTATCTTGAGATCCATTCTGGCAGCTAACGACTTCAAGTACCGGATGATAGCATACCGGACCACGGGTGAGTAAGTCTCCTCGCAATCGATGCCCTTGACTTGAGAATAGCCCAAGCGGGCTTTGTATCGCTCTGTGGATCCGTCGGGGTTCGTCTTGATCTTGAACACACATTTGCAGCGGAGTGCGCTCGATACTCCTCAACCATTGCGTCCTTCCAACGGTTGCTCTCATCGCTCGTAATCGCTTCTTGGAACGTCTGTGGCTCGACCTCGGGTAACTGGGAAATTTGGAAAGTTTCGTGAGGAAGAATACCGAAACCCAAATGAAAATCTTGATACTTGCCTGGAGTTACGCGCTCCCTCGCACTGCGCCTTACGAACTGTTGTGGGTCCTCTGTTTGTGGAGGAAGCGCACCAGGTTGTTGATCCACATCAACCAAAGTATCATCGTTGTCGCCATTCTCGGATTTGTTCCTGTC